CGTAGCTATACTAACAAGGGGGCTAGGATATATAGGAGATGAAATATTTAACAAGCAACGAAGTAATGAGATAACGTTTACGATTGGTGTCCTCCAGCATACCTACAACACAAGCCATGCCCAGGCCAGCAGTTGTTTACACCTGGTCACATGTATAGATACCCATCGGCATTGTGGGCCAATTGTTGTCACTGTGGGACTGTCCAATACACTCCGGGGACCACTGGCAGGGCTTTGTCTGAATCACGCACTGTGAATAATTGTTTCGTCACTGTCATTGCAGAGTGCTACATTACTCTGTGTAACACAATAGCGTCCACTGTGGCTCTGGCCGTAGATCTATTTACCATATACAAGGAGCTAGGGGTTTAACGGTGGTGTGTACTGGCGACTTCATTAAAGTGGTATATACTATTGAGGGTATTGTGTTGGAATGGTAGGGTAATTACTATCTACTGTGGACTGATATGACTGACGGACGAGTATATATACAGACTTTTGGTCATCAATTATAGCTATAGACTGGCCTTGAGTAAACAGACAATATACATGTTGATTGACTTTAGGCATGATCAATGTGACAGACTTCTCGTCCACTAATTGTTGCTATGAATGATACCTGTATTTATACTAAGTATGCAACGATTATTATCATTGGTACTATAAATAAAATGTAACATACAAAGATATCATTGTTGTAATAAATAATCAACCTATTTTGTTTGAGTATATAATGATACCTATGTTGTTATAACTATTTATACCAGTACTGTTGTAGTTGTATACAATGTTATCAGTGTTGTTATAACTATTTATACCTGTACTGTTGTAGTTGTATACAATATTATCTGTGTAATGTTATACTATTTATACCTGTACTGTTGTAGTTGTATACAATGGTATCAGTATTGTTATAACTATTTATACCAGTACTGTTGTAGTTGTATACAATGTTATCATTATTGTTGTAGTTGTATTCAATGTTATCAGTGTTAATGTTATACTATTTATTCCTGTACTGTTGTAGGTGTATACAATGGTATCAGTGTTGTTATAAATGTTTATACCTGGACTGTTGAAGTTGTATACAATATTATCTCTGTAATGTTATACTATTTATTCCTGTACTGTTGTAGGTGTATACAATGGTATCAGTGTTGTTATAAATGTTTATACCTGGACTGTTGAAGTTGTATACAATGTTATCAGTGTTGTTATAAATATTTATACCTGGACTGTTGTAGTTGTATACAATGTTATCAGTATTGTTGTAGTTGTATACAATGTTATCAGTGTTGTTATAACTATTTATACCTGTACTGTTGTAGTTGTATACAATGGTATCAGTGTTGTTATAACTATTTATACCAGTATTGTTGTAGTTGTATACAATGTTATCAGTGTTGTTATAACTATTTATACCAGTATTGTTGTAGTTGTATACAATACTGGTATAAATAGTTATAACAACACTGATACCATTGTATACAACAACAACAGTACAGGTATAAATAGTTATATCAACACTGATAACATTGTATACAACTACAACATTACTGATAACATTGTATACAACTACAACATTACTGATAACATTGTATACAACTACAACAGTACTGGTATAAATATTAATAACAACACAGATAACATTGTATACTATACAATGTTATCAGTGTTGTTATAAATATTTATGCCTGTACTGTTGTAGCTGTATACAATGTTATCTGTGTTGTTATTAATATTTATACCTGTACTGTTGTAGTTGTATACAATGTTATCAGTGTTGTTATAAATATTTATACCTGTACTGTTGTAGTTGTATACAATGTTATCAGTATTGTTATAAATATTTATACCTGTATTGTTGTAGTTGTATTCAATGTTATCTGTGTTGTTATAACTATTTATACCTGTACTGTTGTAGCTGTATACAATGTTATCAGTGTTGTTATAATATTTATAACTGTACTGTTGTAGCTGAATACAATGTTATCTGTGTTGTTATAACTATTTATACCTGTACTATTGTAGTTGTATACAATGTTATCAGTGTTGTTATAATATTTATAACTGTACTGTTGTAGCTGAATACAATGTTATCTGTGTTGTTATAACTATTTATTCCTGTACTGTTGTAGTTGTATACAATGTTATCAGAGTTGTTATAAATATTTATACCTGTACTGTTGTAGGTGTATACAATGTTATCAGTATTGTTATAAATATTTATAACTGTACTGTTGTAGTTGGATACAATGTTATCAGTGTTGTTATAAATATTTATACCAGTACTGTTGTAGTTGTATACAATGTTATCCGTGTTGTTATAAATATTTATACCAGTATTGTTGTAGTTGTATACAATGTTATCAGTATGGTTATAAATATTTATAACTGTACCGTTAAAGTTGTATACAATGTTATCAGTATTGTTATAAATATTTATAACTGTACTGTTGTAGCTGTATACAATGTTATCTGCGTTGTTATAACTATTTATACCTGTACTGTTGTAGCTGTATTCAATGTTATCTGTGTTGTTATAAATATTTATACCTGTACTGTTGTAGGTGTATACAATGTTATCAGTATTGTTATAACTATTTATACCTGTACTGTTGTAGCTGTATACAATGATATCTGTGTTGTTATAAATATTTATACCTGTATTGTTGTAGCTGTATACAATGTTATCTGCGTTGTTATAACTATTTATACCTGTACTGTTGTCGTTGTATACAATGTTATCAGTATTGTTATAAATATTTATACCTGTACTGTGGTAGTTGTATACAATGTTATCAGTGTTGTTATAAATATTTATAACTGTACTGTTGTAGCTGTATACAATGTTATCTGTGTTGTTATAACTATTTATACCTGTACTGTTGTAGTTGTATACAATGTTATCAGTTTTGTTATAAATATTTATACCTGTACTGTTGTAGCTGTATACAATGTTATCTGTGTTGTTATAAACATTTATACCTGTACTGTTGTAGCTGTATACAATGTTATCAGTATTGTTATAGTTGTATACAATGTTACCTTACAATGTTATCAGTGTTGTTATAAATATTTATACCTGTATTGTTAAAGTTGTATACAATGTTATCAGTGTTGTTATAAATATTTATAACTGTACTGTTGTAGCTGTATACAATGTTATCTGCGTTGTTATAACTATTTATACCTGTACTGTTGTAGTTGTATACATTGTTATCAGTGTTGTTATAAATATTTATACCTGTTGTTATAGTTGTATACAATGTTATCAGTATTGTTATAAATATATATACCTGTACTGTTAAAGTTGTATACAATGTTATCATTGTTGTTATAAATATTTATACCTGTACTGTTGTAGCTGTATACAATGTTATCAGTATTGTTATAGTTGTATACAATGTTACCTGTGTTGTTATACTTTTTATACCTGTACTGTTGTAGTTGTATACAATGTTATCAGTGTTGTTATAAATATTTATACCTGTACTGTTGTAGTTGTATACAATGTTATCAGTGTTGTTATAAATATTTATACCTGTACTGTTGTAGTTGTATACAATGTTATCAGTGTTGTTATAAATATTTATACCAGTCCTGTTGTAGTTGTATACCAAGGATACCTGAATTATTAAGCCCCAGTCACACTGTGCTTGTATATAGCCCCGGTGAGCTATGGTGGAGTCTGTATTTGTATTGAAGTCGAGTAATCGCTGTTGATCCGAAACTGGCTCGTAGTTTTAAACTGTTCAAAACCTTTGGGGTCATTTGTAGCCAAGCCACGTACACGCTATTTGGAAACTGTAGTTCCCCCAGCCTTTCCGTATGACCGCTGTAGAATTGCCTTGCAAGAGTCCACATGGTGACTCTAAGATGATTCGTGGTTGCTCCAGGATTTCCAAGGTGTGACATGGTTACATTACGTCTATATTACGGTGGTGATACGTTTGCTGTATTGCAGCGACGGCAGCGACGGCAGGAATAAGGGTTGTTACAGTTCCGGGTCAGGGTGCTTTAAATTGGGGCCAAAATCTGCTCCAACTTGCATGGAACTTCAGTCTTGGAAACAGTCACATCATACATATATGTAGACATTGTCTTCATGATCAACAACCAAAGAAACAAACTTCAGCTGATGATCTGGCTTCTAGAATTGAACTTGTAGCAAGTAACAAACTACATGGTGATGCCAAGTTATTAAGCAACGAAGAACAATAAGGGTCTGTAAGTAGTGACACTTTCTTCTTGTTTGGTCAGTTAAAGTAAACAGATTTTGTGTCAGAAAATCTGTCTCAATATATATAGCCGGAGCATCAGGTGACAAACCGTAGCGTTACCACAGTGATGGAACCAGTGATGACGTAGCGCCACCATGGCGGACCATAGCTTAACCCTGGAAACCCTGGACAAACCGTAGTCATACCTTGACAATTCGTGATGATACTGTTGTGGAACCTGGATGTATCATGCCCTAACGTGGTGGTCCCTAGTGGTATCGGAGAAGTGTCGGCATGTACTGTAGTATACTCGTAGTGACACCTTGATATTGATGTACCATAGTAATACCCTAACAACGCCGTAGATAACTGTTTTCAGACCAAAATTGGAGAGATGGCAGTATATATAAATGGGAACAACTGTGGCATACCGTGGCCAGTACCATGACAGTGTGACTGCGAATTTACAAACCAATATACCAGTGTTGTTACAAATATGCAAAAATACACACATTGTTACAAACAAATTTACCTGTGCTTTGTTGTTATTAATGTACAAAGATATATTTGTTATTATAAATATTATACAGTTTTAATAGATAAATGCAAAGGGCATGTGTTTCTATAAATACATGTGTACACAATGCTGATGTCCTGTATACCGTTGTGTTTCTATAAATACATGTGTACACAATGCTGATGTCCTGTATACCGTTGTGTTTCTATAAATACTTGTGTACACAATGCTGATGTCCTGTTTACTGTTGTGTTTTTCAGTCTGCGTACCAGTGAGACAAACTACCTAAATGAGTCGTTCAGTTTTTACTCCGCCATCCGTATGCGCGTGTACTACTCGAAGGCGAACAAGGAGGAAAGGTACGGGTGGGTTTGTAGTCCATAGGTTATATGTCATTATAAGTCAAACAACCACTTCTCTACCCTAACACCAGCTTAACACCGACGGTCAGAATTAATAAACCTATCTGGTAAATCTTCATGAGGTACAGGTGTTTTGTTAACCTGTGTTTTTTGTAAAATATGAGATATGCATGAAGCTGACCTTACTATCACTGTAGCTGGTATATGGTAGACGGAGAGATTGTCTCACTTATAGTGACATATGTGGTCAAGCAATGATCACTATAATTAAGCAAAGGGGGGCGGGGATTTTATTTTCATCATTTGTTAATCCAGTGTATCTGTTTCTCTGACGTTAGCAGAGATCATTATAAATCTATAGCTACACTGTAGTAGCTGTTAAATGACAACGTACATCTGTTTCTCTGACGTTAGCAGGGATCATTTCAAATCTATAGCTACTGTCACTACTGCATGCATGGTCATTAAAAATAGATGAAAAATTCATTAAAAGTTTTCATAAATTTTGCATTAAAGTTGCATAAAAAATGCTTTAAATTAAGCATTAAAATGTGGCATGATTAATGCCCATGAAATTCCCCTTAAATTGATGGCCTTGAAATTTAATAGTATTTTCAACTGCATAAAATACTTTTATTTTCCAAGATTAATGCTAATTTAATGACCATTAATGGTGGCATTTAATAATAATTAAATTTGACTGAATTTTGCATTAAATATTATGTCCAACAATTTTAATGTAAATTTCATCTTTTAATGACAACATATATATCTATTTCTCTGAATTAATTAACAGGGGTCATTATAAATCTACAGCTACAATGTAGAAGCTGTTAAATGACAACGTATATCTGTTACTTTATTGATCTCCAGTTGCTGAATGAAAGACAGATCTTGCACAGTGATTTGTTGGGCAATAGTTAGGGAATATGATAACTGCTGCAGTTTCACCTGTGACCTTAGAGCATGTGATGTACTATAACTGTTGTAGTCATATATATATGTAGTTTATGGATATTTTCTTTTGTTACTTTATATAAGGTCAAAGAATCTGCATCAAAAGTGACTGAACAAATTTGAAAGTGTTGATGTTGTGTTTCACCTTGTTNGGGGGGGGGGGGGGGGGGGGGGGGGGGAGATACTGGAACCAGCTTGTCTGTCTGTAGATATTTTTTTCTGGACAACTCCTTCTAAAGTAATGGCCGATTTCAACGAAACTTTCCAGATATGATAACTACCACCTGAAGTTGTGCATCCAGGTATTATTTTTTCAATCTGTTCATTTTTGAAGTAACGGCCCTTTGTTGAAAAATACTTGTCCTGACAACTCCTCCAAGACTATGTGGCCAATTTCAACGAAAGTTGCCAGATATGATAACTACCCCCGTATTTGTGCATCCAGGTTTTTGTTTTCCAACCCTTTTTTATGGAGTTATGGCCCTTTGTTGAAAAATTCTTGTCCTGAAAACTTTTCCGAATCTACTTGGCCTAGGACAATTTTAGCAAAACTGGTTCATCTGGGCTAACAAGTTTAGTATGTAAGTATGTTTTGGCATGGGGAGGGAGTACAGGAAGTATGTCAGTGACCAGTATACTCAAATAAGTGTGCAGCTCAGTCAATAAAGAAATCATTACTGGTGGCAGACTATGGATTGATTTGCAATGCTTTGCCTTAGTAAGCCTTTAGCTTACAGTTCTGGTTTATACAAAGTGTATAGCAGCGGGGGCCGGGGGGTATTAGTTAGCCTTTGGCTTACAGTTCTAGTTACTTTTTTTTTTACCCAGCCTTACTAAGTGTCTACCTGTATCCCAGGTGGCTGAACATGAGACCAAGAACATGTAGAAGTGGAAAGTGTGTGTGTGTGGCTAATTGAGAAGTGCACTTTTTGACACCATGTTGGATATGTGCATGTGTAACACCTGGTTGAAGAGTGTGTGTGACACCTGGTTGTGTATGACACCTTGTTAATTAAGAGGTGTATGTCATAATGTGTGTGTGTGTGTATGACACCTGATTGATTAAGAGGTGCATGTTTGTGTGTGTGTGATACACCTGGTTAATTAAGAGGTGTATGTGTGTGTGTGTATGACACCTGGTTGATTAAGAGGTGTAGGTGTTTGTGTGTGTGTAACACCTGGTTGATTAAGAGGTGTATGTGTGTATGACACCTGGTTAATTAAGAGGTGTTTGTGTGTTTGTGTGACACCTGGTTAATTAAGAGGTGTATGTGTGTGTATGTGAGACACCTGGTTAATTAAGAGGTTTATGTGTGTGTGTGTGTGTATAACACCTGGTTAATTAAGAGATGTGTGTGTGTGTGTATGACACCTGGTTAATTAAGAGGTGTATGTGTGTGTGTATGACACCTGGTTAATTAAGAGGTGTTTGTTTGTGTGTGTGTGAGACACCTGGTTAACTAAGAGGTGTTTGTTTGTGTGTGTGTGTAACACCTGGTTAATTAAGAGGTGTAGGTGTGTGTGTGTATGACACCTGGTTAATTAAAAGGGTGTATGTGTGTGTTTTTGAGACACCTGGTTAATTAAGAGGTATATGTGTGTGTGTGTATGACACCTGGTTAATTAAGAGGTGTGTGTTTGTGTGTGAAACCAAATTAATTAAGAGGCGTATGTGTGTGTTTGTATGACACCAGATTAATTAAGACGTGTGTGTCTGTGTGAAACCTGATTAAGAAAGAGATATGTGTTTGTGTGAAACCTGATTTATTAAGATCTGTGTGTTTGTGTGAAACCTGATTAATTAAGAGGTGTGTGTTTGTGTGAAACCTGATTGAATAAGTGGTGTGTGTGTGTGACACCTGACTTATTAAGGTGTGTGTTTGTGTGATACCTGACTAATTAAGAGGTGTGTTTGTGGACACCTGATTAGTTAAGCGGTGTTTTTGTGAGTGACACCTCATTGTCTATGACACCTGACTAATTAAGGTGTGTGTGTGTGTGTGTGACACCTGACTTATTAAGGTGTGTGTTTGTGTTTGTGTGATACCTGATTAATTAAGAGGTGTGTGTGTGTGACACCTGACTAATTAAGAGGTGTGTTTGTGAGTGACACCTCATTGTCTATGACACCTGACTAATTGAGGTGTGTGTGTGTGATACCTGACTAATTAAGAGGTGTGTTTGTGGACACCTGATTAGTTAAGCAGTGTTTTTGTGAGTGACACCTCATTGTCTATGACACCTGACTAATTAAGAGGTATGTGTCTGTGTATAACCTGGTTGAGAAGCATTGATGATATATGGTTAGAGAGTATAATGTTTAAAGATTGGTGTGGCTAGAAGGTGTGGAACGGACACCTTTTGGAGGTCCCGCAGTTTAAGGTGTATCTGATTTACAGGCCTGACCTGATGGTGAAGAAACTGAGGTACTACGCACGCTTCATTGTAGTCTGTCTCCTCCTCAAGAAGATGAAGCTCGTACGAGATCTAGTTCGGGTAAGGAATAGCTTGTAGGCACAATGTTATATAACTGCCAACAAAACAGAATTATCTCCCCTTATAAAAAGCATGTTCCCTATATGACTAGGTAATTGTGACCAGTATTAAGACATACTAGAAGCATATCATAACCAAGCTTGTCTAACCTGTAAATTTTAAACAGGTTTGTTTTACCTGGCTAGATAAAAGACCAGCATGTACAAAATTAGATTACAAAATTCATACTGATAAACGAAAAGTTGGATATCAAAAGGGATACTGTAAATGACACATTGATCTGTCCATTCATCCCACTTCTGTTTCTGCACAATAACTGGAGTTTCCATGCGCCCATCACACTCAAACTTCATACAGGGCTTTCCTACTGGAAGGTTTGGTTTGGTGTGATTTTCAGGTCTGAAATTCAAAGGTCAAGGCCAATGTCACCATCAATAGAAAAATGGTTTGTGTGTAATAACTTGAGTCAATCAACTGAACTCCCTTCCCTGCTTCCTAAGGATATACTATTTTTAGGTCTGTAGGTGAAAGATCAAGTTCCCTGTTACTATACATAGAAAATTATTTTCCACTCAATATGTTATGTTTACTTCAGTTGATAACACTGATTACTTCGTATACTGCTTCCATACACAAAACGCTTTCTTGGCATCACTTTTCAGGTCTGAAGCTGATTGCTCAGCAGTGCTTTTTAGCTGACCTGGTCCGAAGGACCATGCTGAGCTTATGCCATACCCCTTCGTCTGTCTGTCGTCCGTCTGTCAACTTTTTCTTTAAAACACTACTAGTCCTGAACAGCTTTATAGATTTTCCTAAATTTGGCCTGGAGTGTCCTATGGCAAAGGGGACTAAATTTGGTATAAACGGAGGGTGTGGCCCCACTGGGTGCTGAGGGGCAGGGCCCTATAGGGGAATTTGAGGTTTAAATCTTTAAAATCCTTCTTCTTCTGTACCATGACAGGAATTTCATCCAAATTTGGCCTGGAACATTCTAGGGCAAAGGGAACTAAAAAAAAATTATAAACAGAGGATGTGACCCTTCTGAGTGTAGAGGGGCAGGGCCCAATAGGGGAATTTGAGGAATAAATATTTAAATTTGGTCCAGAGCATCCTTTGGCATTTAAAAAAAAAAAATTAAGAGTGTAGCCCCTCCCTTTGGGCAGAGGGGCGAGGCCCAGTAGGGGAAATGTAGTAATACATGATTAAAATCCAACTCCTTTAGTATGATTTGAGGAGTTTTAACCAAATTTTGTGTCAAGCATCATTGGGCAAAAGGGACTCAATTTTGTATAAATGGAGGGTTGCTTATAGGGGGCAGAGGTGTGGGGCCAAATAGGGGAAATTGAGGTTAATGTTTAAAATTGACCCCAATTCATAGGGAAAGAAAGAAGGAAACTAATGAGTGATTGGTGTTGCTAAGAGATGGGCAAATATTTGGAATTAGTTGAAGTATTATATGTAATAAGAAAATAAATCCATGGTTGCTTTATTATCCAGGTTTTACGATACAGCCCCTCTGGGCTCTTGTTTTTATTCCTACTCCTTTTGCTATTGTGCATACTAGTTTTAGTGGAGTCTAATTAAGATATCATTTCACAACAGGAGCTGTCCAAACAGATAGACGACTACACATCAACATATGAACCAGAGGACAAGAGTGAGTGGAGACAGGTGTTGGATGAGATCAAGGCCTTTATAGAGGTGAGTGGACAGGTGTTGGACGAGATCAAGGCCTTTATACAGGTGAGTGTAGATAGGTGTTGGATGAGATCAAGGCCTTAATAGAGGTGAGTGAGACAGTTGTTGAGATCAAGGCCTTAATAGAGGTGAGTGGAGACAGGTGTTGAGATCAAGGTCTTTATAGAGGTGAGTGAGACAGTTGTTTAGATCAAGGCCTTAATAGAGGTGAGTGAGACAGTTGTTGGATGAGATCAAGGCCTTTATAGAGGTGAGTGGAGACAGGTGTTGGATGAGATCAAGGCCTTAATAGAGGTGAGTGAGACAGTTGTTGGATGAGATCAAGGCCTTTATAGAGGTGAGTGGAGACAGTAGTTGAGATCAAGGCCTTTATAGAGGTGAGTGGTGACAGGTGTTGGATGAGATCAAGGCCTTTATAGAGGTGAGTGGAGACAGGTGTTGGATGAGATCAAGGCCTTTATAGAGGTGAGTGGAGACAGGTGTTGGATGAGATCAAGGCCTTTATAGAGGTGAGTGGAGACAGGTGTTGGATGAGATCAAGGCCTTTATAGAGGTGAGTGGAGACAGGTGTTGGATGAGATCAAGGCCTTTATAGAGGTGAGTGGAGACAGGTGTTGGATGAGATCAAGGCCTTTATAGAGGTGAGTGGAGACAGGTGTTGGATGAGATCAAGGCCTTTATAGAGGTGAGTGGAGACAGGTGTTGGATGAGATCAAGGCCTTTATAGAGGTGAGTGGAGACAGGTGTTGGATGAGATCAAGGCCTTTATAGAGGTGAGTGGAGACAGGTGTTGGATGAGATCAAGGCCTTTATAGAGGTGAGTGGAGACAGGTGTTGGATGAGATCAAGGCCTTTATAGAGGTGAGTGGAGACAGGTGTTGGATGAGATCAAGGCCTTTATAGAGGTGAGTGGAGACAGGTGTTGGATGAGATCAAGGCCTTTATAGAGGTGAGTGGAGACAGGTGTTGGATGAGATCAAGGCCTTTATAGAGGTGAGTGGAGACAGGTGTTGGATGAGATCAAGGCCTTTATAGAGGTGAGTGGTGACAGGTGTTGGATGAGATCAAGGCCTTTATAGAGGTGAGTGAGACAGTTGTTTAGATCAAGGCCTTTATAGAGGTGAGCGGTGACAGGTGTTGGATGAGATCAAGGCCTTTATGGAGGTGAGTGGAGACGGGTGTTGGATGAAATCACGCTTTTAATTGTGGTGAGTGGAGACAGGTGTTGGATGAGATCAAGGCCTTTATATAGGTGAGTGGAGATAGGTGTTGGATGAGATCAAGGCCTTTATGGAGGTGAGTGGGGACGGGGGTTGGATGAAATCACGCTTTTAATTGTGGTGAGTGGAGACAGGTGTTGGATGGGATCAAGGCCTTTATAGAGGTGAGCGGTGACAGGTGTTGGCTGAGATCAAGGCCTTTATAGAGGTGAGTGAGACAGTTGTTTAGATCAAGGCCTTTATAGAGGGGAGCGGTGACAGGTGTTGGATGAGATCAAGGCCTTTATAGAGGTGAGTGGACACAGGTGTTTGACAAGATCAAGGCCTTTATAGGGGTGAGTGGCAACAGTAGTTGACAAAATATAGGTCTTTATTGAAAGATCAAAGGCTTTTTTATTATTGTAAAATTTTCATAAATGTGATGAATTTACTTATCTCAGTCGAGCTTTGTTGGACAAGGCCACATGCTACAATATTACATGTGGAGACTGAGGGCATTTCTAATATTACAGTTAGTGTATTGAAAGGGAAATTTCTTCTGTGTTAAATTCCTAAGACATCTTTTTCTATGTAAAAAAAGTTATTTATAATGTTAAACAACATGGAGGCACATGAACTATTTTTGCACCGTTTAATACTGAAGTAATATTTCTTCATTCCTTTCATCACATAGTTTTACCTTCCTTTATTATTGTTAATTTTGGGAAGCAAACATATCTTAAGGTAATTGTATTAATAATCGTGCATTATATTTTTATATGTGACACTGCTTATCACCCTAAGAATCTTGTTGTTTATTTACAGGCTGACAACATTATCAGTGTGGTAGATATGGACTCTTCCTCCATCGTCCTGTCACACAGGCTAACCCCAATGAACAACACACCCCTGGATCCAAAGGGTACACCTGTATATCTGTCACTTCAGGAGATACTTATAGTGGGAAACTCATCAGAACAGGTAAATACAGGGTGTGTCTGTCCACTCAGGTAGATTGGTAGTGGGAACCTCATCAGAACAGGTAGATACAGGGTGTATCTGTCCACTCAGGTAGATTGGTAGTGGGAACCTCATCAGAACAGGTAAATACAGGATATACCTGTCCACTCAGGTAGACTGGTAGTGGGAACCTCATCAGAACAGGTAAATACAGGGTGTATCTGTCCACTCAGGTAGATTGGTAGTGGGAACCTCATCAGAACAGGTAAATACAGGATATACCTGTCCACTCAGGTAGATTGGTAGTGAGAAACTCACCAGAACTGGTAGATACAGGATGTATCTGTCCACTCAGGTAGATTTGTAGTGGGAAACTCATCAGAACAGGTAGATACAGGATGTATCTGTCCACTCAGGTAGATTGGTAGTGAGAACCTCATCAGAACAGGTAAATACAGGGTGTATCTGTCCACTCTGGTAGATTGGTAGTGGGTACCTCATCAGAATAGGTAAATACAGGGTGTATCTGTACGCTCAGGTAGATTGGTAATGGGTACCTCATCAGAACAGGTAAATACAGGGTGTATCTGTCCACTCCGGTAGATTGGTAGTGGGTACCTCATCAGAATAGGTAAATACATGGTGTATCTGTACGCTCAGGTAGATTGGTAATGGGTACCTCAGCAGAACAGGTAAATACAGGGTGTATCTGTCCATTCAGGTAGATTGGTAGTGGGAACCTCATCAGAGCAGGTAGATACAGGATGTATCTGTCCACTCAGGTAGATTAGTAGTGGGAACCTCATCAGAACAGGTAAATACAGGATATACCTGTCCACTCAGGTAGATTGGTAGTGAGAACCTCATCAGAACAGGTTTAACAGGGTGTATCTGTCTACTCAGGTAGATTGGTAGTGGGAACCTCATCAGAACAGGTAAATACAGGGTGTATCTGTCCACTCAGGTAGATTTGTAGTGGGAACTCATCAGAACAGGTAAATACAGGGTGTATCTGTCCATTCAGGTAGATTGGTAGTGGGAACATCATCAGAACAGGTAAATACAGGGTGTATCTGTCCACTCAGGTAGATTTGTAGTGGGAAACTCATCAGAACAGGTAAATACAGGGTGTATCTGTCCACTCAGGTAGATTGGTAGTGGGAACCTCATCAGAACAGGTAAATCCAGGGTGTGTCTGTCCACTCAGGTAGATTGGTAGTGGGTACCTCATCAGAACAGGTAAATACAGGATATACCTGTCCACTCTGGTAGATTGGTAGTGGGAACCTCATCAGAACAGGTAAATACAGGGTGTATCTGTCCACTCAGGTAGATTGGTAGTGGGAACATCATCAGAACCGGTAGATACAGGGTGTGTCTGTCCATTCAGGTAGATTGGTAGTGAGAACCTCATCAGAACAGGTAAATACAGGGTGTATCTGTCCACTCAGGTAGATTGGTAGTGGGAACATCATCAGAACAGGTAGATACAGGGTGTGTCTGTCCATTCAGGTAGATTGGTAGTGAGAACCTCATCAGAACAGGTAAATACAGGGTGTGTCTGTCCTCTCAGGTAGACTGGTAGTGGGAACCTCATCAGAACAGGTAGATACAGGATGTATCTGTCCACTCAGGTAGATTGGTAGTGGGAACCTCATCAGAGCAGGTAGATACAGGATGTATCTGTCCACTCAGGTAGACTGGTAGTGGGAACCTCATCAGAACAGGTAAATACAGGATATACCTGGCCACTCTGGTAGATTGGTAGTGGGAACCTCATCAGAACAGGTAGATACAGGGTGTATCTGTCCACTCAGGTAGATTGGTAGTGAGAACCTCATCAGAACAGGTAAATACAGGATATACCTGTCCACTCTGGTAGATTGGTAGTGGGAACCTCATCAGAACAGGTAGATACAGGGTGTATCTGTCTACTCAGGTAGATTGGTAGTGGGAACCTCATCAGAACAGGTAGATACAGGATATACCTGTCCACTCAGGTAGATTGGTAGTGGGAACCTCATCAGAACAGGTAAATACAGGGTGTATCTGTACGCTCAGGTAGATTGGTAGTGGGAATCTCATCAGAACAGGTAAATGCAGGGTGTATCTGTCCGCTCAGGTAGATTGGTAGTGGGAAACTCATCAGAACAGGTAAATACAGGGTGTATCTGTCCGCTCAGGTAGATTGGTAGTGGGAACCTCATCAGAACAGGTAAATAAAGGGTGTATCTGTCCACTCGGGTAGATTGGTAGTGGGAACCTCATCAGAGCAGGTAAATACAGGGAGTATCTGTCCACTCAGGTAGATTGGTAGTGGGAACCTCATCAGAGTAGATAAAAACAAGGATATACCTGTCCACTCAGGTAGATTGGTAGTGAGAACCTCATCAGAGCAGGTAAATACAGGGTGTATCTGTCCACTCAGGTAGATTGGTAGTGGGAACCTCATCAGAGCAGGTACAAGATACAAGATACAAGAAATTATATTTATAGTTGTAAATATGAAAACAGATAAAGGTAAATATAGGACTATATCTAATGATTCAGGTAGATTGATAGCTAGTAACTCATCGGAGCATGTAAAGAATATTCACAATGAAAGTTGTTATATTTAGATCAAATAGGTATATTACACAGGTAACTTCACCTGCAGTTATTTTGATATTGGGAAACATTTAAGACTCCTTAATTAAGTTACGAAAACAATAACAAATATAACTGAGGAAACAGGTAACGGTATATCTGTGTTTCTGTTACAGGTGAAGTTCAGTGAGTTGACATTGGACATGTTCCGCATGCTACAGACACTAGAGCGAGAACCACAGGAGGATTTGTCTAATCAAATCTATGACGCTTCCCCGGCACCAGGCAAACCGCCATTTGTTCGTCCACATGCCTATGTAAGTTTGTCTTCTCCTGTTATTGTACCCCTAGTTTAGATAGTACTTAACTCATGATATAGTAAAAATCACTCATCCACTGTAAAGAATAGTCACTAATTCACAGTACCGAATACCAGGGAGTCACTCATTCATGGTACAGAATAGTCACTTATTAGTTTACCTGCTCCAAAGGATCAAGGTGAGCTTATGCTGTACCCTGGTTTCCTCTGTCCGTCAACAATGTCTTTAAAGGACTTCTTCTGATTCACTTATTGGAATTTAACCAAATTTGACTGGAAGCACCCCTACTTGGTAGGGATTCACAATTGTACAAATGGTAGGGCCGGCCCCTCCAGGGGACTGAGGGTTAGGACCAAAAGGGGGTTATTTGACCAAATTGCTTGAGATTACTTCTCTAAAACTGTGAGACAGATATCATGGTTGACTGGCAGCATCCTTAGGTGGTATGGATTCAAAATTGTACAAATGGAGGGGCTGAGTCACAAGGCTGAGGGGTGAAGAGTTGATAACTCAGAAATAGCTATGATTCCCAACTGTATAAGTATGCAGTTGCTCAGTGTAAAGAAATTGATACAACTCATACTAACTTGATGGCGCTAGGGTTTTGCCCCACCCCTTGGGGCTTCGTCCCTGGGTCATAACTTTGAAAAGGTTAAAATCCTTACTCCATAACCGTATATACAATTACTTGGCGTGAACAAACTCATGCTTCCAAAATCGTCCTTGGGTTCTGCTTCTGCTCTTAGGGTCGTAGTCCCTGGATCCATAACATCGAACCATTTGATATCCACATCCTTAAGTAATTTATCAAGTTGATCCAAATTCTGTACAGGAAGTAGAATTTCGATATCCACAAAATATACAAAATTATTAAGTATTGTTATTTCACCCCTTATCAAGGATTTAAGTAAAAAATGACACTGACAGTTCAATGAAAATTTAATCACATCATCTCTCCATCATATTGAATACATCATGATCATGTTTAGAATGTTAGCCAAATATGTATCAAAGATTTTGAACTGAAACCAATTGTATTTATGCATTTCCTAATCTGGATTTACAAAATTGTAGTTCCTGAACTGGAATTCATTGTGCGCCTGTATCTTTAATGCATAGAGGAGGGAGGAAATGTAACAAATGTTAATACAATGTGCAAGTGTAAGATATAAAGTAAAAGAATGCACGAGATGACTGCTTTTCTTCAAACAAACATTTTTGAAACCTTTAGTTTGACCTGTGATTTAACTGTTGTGACTAGGATAACGGTGACAGGAATAATCGACGAGACAATCCCCACAAGTACCTGTTGTACAAACCCACCTTTAGCCAGCTGAACACATTTCTTGCCTCAGGATTTAAGGAGCTCCCTCCCAATGGTGCCATGCTGTTGTACATATCAGCCGACGGCTGCTTAGGCAACGCCAAACATAATGACGATGGTATGCTGTCTTGTCTGTTTTTTAATATATAATATAACAAGTAAATATCAATATTTGTAGATGTAAATATTTGTTGTTGCTGTGAATATGAATATTAATAGCTTTAAGTATCAAAGTTTGTATCTGTAAATATAAATGGTTGTAGCTATAAATATCAAAGTTTGTAGCTATAAATACCAATGTTTGTAGCTATAAATACCAATGGTTGTAGCTATAAAAACCAATGGTTGTAGCTATAAATACCAATGGTTGAGTTATTACGTTTGTTGTAGCTATAAATACCAATGGTTGTAGCTATAAATACCAATGGTTGAGGCTATAAATACCAATTGTAGCTATAAATACCAATGTTTGTAGCTATAAATACCAATGGTTGTAGCTATAAA